ACATATGCTTTAGTGGACATGGTGAAGCGAAAGTCTAGCTGCTCCTTTCCAGAAATTGAAGTCAGAACTCCTAGAGGTTTTATTGAAAGAACTGCATTCCACGAAGGCGATGAGTTTGATGTCCCTGATCCAGCCATTGTTTTGGGGGGTACTGTTGCCTTGTGGTTGCTATGCATAATTGGTTCCTTTCATGCCAAGAGCAAACTCACCATTATGGAAGCTGGTGGTCTTGAGGTTCTATCTGAAAAGCTTGCAGGTTACACTTCCAATCCACAGGTATAAAGTATTTAGCTTCATAGTTGTAGTTCCATGTTTAGATACTTTTTGGTACAGATATTTGAAATATAAATTTTTGTAGCTTACTAGATTGGTCATCTTTATGAACAGGCAGAATATGAGGATACAGAAGGTATATGGATTAGTGCCCTGGTCCTGGCTATTCTGTTCGAAGATGCAAATGTTGTTCTGTCACCTGTAACAATGCGCATCATTCCTTCACTTGCTCTTCTTTTGAAATCGGATGAGATGATTGATAGGTTCTTTGCTGCCCAGTCAATGGCCACTCTTGTTTATAATGGTAGTAAAGGAATAATTCTTGCCCTTGCAAATTCAGGTGCTGTTGCTGGATTGATAACTCTTATTGGTTATGTAGAGTCCGACGTGCCTAACCTTGTTACTTTATCAGAAGAGTTTTCTCTGGTGCGAAATCCTGATCAAGTTGTTTTGGAGTGCCTTTTTGATTTTGAAGACATAAGAGTTGGATCAACAGCACGTAAATCTATACCTCTCTTGGTGGATCTCTTGAGACCAATGCCAGAACGGCCCGGTGCCCCTCCAATTGCTGTTAAACTCTTGACTCGTATTGCCAATGGAAGTGATACAAATAAGTTAATTGTGGGTGAAGCTGGAGCTCTGGATGCTCTGACAAAGTACCTGTCTCTAAGTCCACAAGACTCCACCGAAGCCACAATAACTGAATTATTCAGAATATTATTTAGCAATCCTGATCTCATTCGATATGAAGCATCAGCTAGTTCATTGAATCAACTCATAGCTGTTTTGCGACTGGGTTCAAGAAATGCAAGATATAGTGCTGCCAGAGCTCTTCATGAACTATTTGGTGCTGAGAACATTAGAGATTCTGATTTAGCCAGGCACTCAATTCAGCCTTTGGTTGACATGCTTAATGCTGCATCAGAGAGTGAACAAGAGGCTGCCCTCATTGCGTTAATAAAGTTGACTTCAGGAAATTCTTCTAAAGCAGCTTTGTTGACTGATGTGGAGGGAAATCCAATGGAGAGTTTGTACAAAATACTGTCTTCTGCTTCATCCTTGGAATTAAAGAGAACTGCTGCACAACTCTGTTATACTTTGTTTGATAATACTGAAGTCAGAGGAAATCCAATTGCCTCAGAATGCATAGAGCCCCTTATATCACTGATGCATTCTGATGCTACTACAGCTGTAGAAGCTGGAGTTTGTGCTTTTGAAAAATTGTTGGATGATGAACACCGGGTGGAGCTTGCAATGGCCTATAATGTTGTGGATCTCCTTGTTGGATTAGTTTCTGGAACAAGCATGCAGCTCATTGAGGCCAGTGTCTGTTCTCTCGTAAAGTTGGGGAAAGACCGGACCCCATGCAAATTGGATATGGTCAATGCTGGAATCATTGATAAATGTCTTGAACTACTACCTGTTGCACCCAGTTCATTATGCTCTTCCATAGCTGAATTGTTCCGCATTTTAACAAACAGTAATGCAATTGCTAGAAGTTTGGCTGCTGCACAAATTGTAGAACCTCTTTTTATAGTTTTACAACATCCAGATTTCAGTTTATGGGGACAGCACAGTGCATTACAAGCACTAGTAAATATTTTGGAGAAGCCACAGAGCCTTGCAACGTTAAAGCTTACACCTAGCCAAGTGATCGAGCCTCTTATTTCATTTCTGGAATCCCCATCTCAAGCCATTCAGCAGCTTGGCACAGAATTGCTATCTCATCTTCTTGCACAAGAACATTTTCAGCTAGATATTACAACAAAAAATGCAGTTGTTCCACTTGTTCAGCTTGCAGGAATTGGAATATTAAACTTACAGCAGACAGCGGTAAAGGCATTGGAAATAATCTCCACAAGCTGGCCAAAGGCAGTTGCTGATGCTGGTGGTATATTTGAGCTTGGAAAGGTTATTATTCAAGATGACCCTCAGCCACCTCATGCCCTGTGGGAATCAGCTGCTTTAGTTCTCTCAAATGTTCTGCACTTCAACGCTGAATACTATTTTAAGGTTCCTGTGGTGGTTCTTGTTAAAATGTTGCATTCAACAGTGGACAGCACCATCACGGTGGCCCTCAATGCTTTGCTTGTTCATGAAAGGAGTGATAATTTAAGTGCTGAACAGATGACTGATGGTGGTGCTGTAGAAGCCTTGTTGGACCTTTTACGGTCTCATCAATGCGAAGAAGCATCTGGAAGATTACTTGAAGCTCTATTTAACAATGTCAGGATACGACAAATGAAGGTCTCTAAGTATGCAATAGCACCGCTATCACAGTATCTGTTGCATCCACAAACCAAATCAGAGTCTGGAAAACTTCTTGCTGCTCTTGCTCTTGGAGACCTTTCCCAACATGAAGGGCTTGCGAGAGCCAGAGATTCCGTTTCTGCGTGTCGTGCATTGGTAAGCTTGCTTGAAGAACAGCCAACAGAAGAGATGAAAATGGTGTCAATTTGTGCATTGCAAAACTTCGTCATGAACAGCCGAACTAATAGGCGAGCTGTCGCAGAAGCAGGGGGCATACTGATTATTCAAGAACTACTACTGTCTCCCAATGCAGAAACTGCTGGGCAGGCAGCATTGCTTATCAAATTTTTGTTTTCTAATCATACACTCCAAGAGTATGTATCAAATGAACTTATCAGATCTTTGACAGGTAATTCACGTTTGCATCATTATTTGGTTTCGAATGCTGATTTTTCCCCTATAAACTAAAAGACTGACATATGATATTCATCAACTTCCCTTTATTTCTTTCTTCTGTTGACTTTCTGGATCCAATGCCGTGTCTTGCAGCTGCATTGGAGAGAGAGTTGTGGTCCTCAGCAACTATTAATGAAGAGGTCTTGAGAGCCTTACATATGATATTCGTCAACTTCCCAAAGCTCCATATTTCTGAAGCAGCAACTCTCTGCATTCCCAATTTGATCGGAATTCTTAAATCTGGTAGTGACACGGCTCAGGATGTTGTTTTGGACACCCTTTCCCTGTTGAGACATTCTTGGTCAACTATGCCAATAGATATTGCAAAGTCTCAGGCTGTGATTGCTGCTGAAGCCATTCCCATCCTACAAATGCTCATGAAAACCTGTCCTCCAAGTTTCCATGAGAGAGCAGACAGCCTGTTGCATTGCTTACCAGGTTGTTTGACGGTTACAATTAAGCGGGGGAACAACCTTAAACAGGCCATGGGAGGCACAAATGCTTTTTGTCGATTGACAATAGGCAATGGCCCTCCTCGACAAACCAAGGTAATGGTTCCATAGACTAGTTATGTACAACATGAAAAAAAAGAAACTGTCTATTGCATAACTTACATGTATTAAATCTTTGTTCTTCTTTTCATTCTTTTCCTCCATTTATGAGGTGTGGTTGAAGCCTCTTTAGAGGACCTGACAAATCTTAGGGGCATACGGTACCCTTAATCCCATAAATACTGGATATTGGATAATTACCAGGGACCCCCTGGGTTTGGCTCTCAAGGGATTAGCACTGATTGTGTATGAAAATAAATTTATACTATTGCTACTGCGATGACTTTGCAGCATCTAAAATCTGCAATAGAATTTTGATAACATAGCAATGCCTGCAGGTTCCCTACCGTATATTGGTTTTGTGAAGATTTACCGATTATTATTTTTCTTTGAACCAAAATTTTATTTTATTTGTCTATTTATAAATAGAAAGAGTGAGCATAGTGCATTTGACAACAACTCTACTGTTTCAAATCCTTTGATAAAGAAGTCCCATGTTGTGCATATAATTTGTGATGCTTTATTATCCTCTCTATGCTTACAGCTTTATGTTATACACAATGTTGTTTCGACATTAGGTAGTGAGCCACAGTACCTCTCCTGAGTGGAAAGAAGGCTTTACGTGGGCATTTGATGTGCCTCCAAAGGGACAGAAACTCCATATCATTTGCAAAAGCAAAAATACCTTCGGAAAGGTAATAACTTTTCATTTTAGATTTGCAAATCGCAAGCAGGATGAGTTATTCATTCGATTTTGTTATTTAATTTTTAATTATCATGAATCGTTTGTGCTCGACTGATGAGAACGAAGTTAAATGCTCTTGTTTCCTGTTAGGCTTTTGATTGTTGACGTATAGTTTTAATAGGGTGGGTTTAAATCTCAGCAAACAATGATGAATGGGCGATAACTCTGGTTTAAATCTTACACATATGATCAGTAAACTTTCCTGCCTTGATAGCAGCCATTGGTGCGCTAATTAGTTACACCCCACCGCTATTTTTGCTTTTCATTTCGTGATGGTGGTTGGTGAGCCTTGTGTTTTTCTTTTGTTTCTCAGACAAATCTGGGAAGAGTGACGATCCAAATTGACAAAGTCGTTAGTGAAGGAGTATACAGTGGATTGTTCAGTCTAAATCATGACAGCAACAAGGATGGGTCTTCCCGTACACTAGAGATCGAGATTATCTGGTCAAACAGAATGGCTGACGAAGAAACATGAACGAGTACTGAAGTCTGGTGCGGCGCAGTCTCCTCATAAAGCCGGGAATGCCGGATTGACGATCCAAATGGGGAAAAGGAGGCTGGCTTGCTTGTAATTAGTTTTTGTGTTTTGAAGGTCCAGTTTTGTAGTTTGAAATATTTAAGCTGCTTCAGGTAATTGTAAATTAAATTTGATAAGTGGAAACGCGTTCCCACGTTTTAAGGGAATCTAAAAGTTGAATAGAAGTTTGTACAGGTCAGCCTGTAGGTGCTAGCAACTCGAAGATTTTAATAAGATTGGAGTTTGAATTTCTCGTACGCATACGGTTTGAGAATTAGTTCGACATTATACTCGTGCTCGTGCTCGTGCTCGGGACATGTTTGACGCTTACTCATGTCCAGATTCGCAACCATAAACACAACAGCTCTCAATGGTTTCCCAGGATTCTACTGAAGTTTGAAAACTAGACACAAGGTTATATAACATCCTGACATCCTCCTGACGTTTGCATTAACGGAGTAATGGACCAAAACCTGCATATTAGACGAGCACAATTACTTCGCAGCAGCAACAAGTGCAGATCGAGCTTTTGTGAAAGTGGCTATCAGTGATCCGAGTTGCAACTTATCGTTGCACCCAAAGGTCAACCTGTACCTGCAAACGTATAAATACTGATTAGTGTAAATTCAGCTTATAGCCAGTTCCAGTTTTCAAGTTTTAACAGTCAATTTGCAAATTGAACAAAATAACAATCTTCGGTATCATATATTGGCAAGTAATTTCCGCAAACGCATTATTTCCTTCTCCACTTTTCTGAACAAAACCAATGCACGCTATTGTTTATTATGTTGTGACCAAGTACGGCCAGTACCATGTTGCAATGAACTTGGCCGCCTAATTTGTAGAGTCCATAATGAAGAAAACAATAAGCAAATGAAAACAGTGCAAGACCAAAATACTTACTCTATGTCAGCTAAATCGTTAATCAACTGAACGCGAACATCTGCTGGCATCTGAATCTTAAAAACGAACCTGTTCAAAGAAAGCAGTGTAGGTGAGAGATGAAGCAAACAAAATGACACGAGAAAATGTAGAAAAATGTGTAACACTTACATGGTCACTTCTCTTACAATATCTATCAAAGCCAATCCTTTTCTTGCTTTCATATCAGATATTGCTGCAATACATGAAGTGTGCAAAGTAAATACTAAATAACTCTTCCCAGTGACATACTGTTCCTGCCTTGAGAATAGAATTATAAGTACATAAATAAATAAGACGGTTGAATACTTTTGAAACTCTCAGCAAATGATTCGTTCAAAAGCCAGTAAGACATTTGCTCAATATCTTTGGGCAATGGATTTCCTGTGCAAAGATATACTGCTTCTTCAGTTATCTGCTGTGAAGCCATATGAGTTGACTGCGTACATTGAAATAGGAATGACGTCAAGATCTATTTGTGAATTTAAAAATAAAAAATAAAAAATTCAAATCCATGGGACAAGTAATTTGAATTTCTGCTAAAATATATTTTACTTCTAGAGTCCTAATATTGGAGACTATTTACAATGCTCATCTGAAGGCATCAAGTAAAAAAGGGTTATTTCTCTATCCCGCCATTTTATGAATCAATACATTGACACACAGATTTTGAACAGCAAAAGAGAAAGTGAAAAAGACAAATGTAACATCTGAGTAGAGATTATAACCTGCAAAATGTTCAAAGCCTTTCTCATGTCACCATTGCTAAGCCGTACAACTGCCACTAAACCACTCGCAGGCACATCAAGCCTAGTCCAATCAATAAATGTCAACTTATCAATATATTTCTGACTGAAGCCAGGCATCAAAAGCTACGACCATAATGCTTACTAGTGAACCACAGTTCTATAATTTTATTCGCCTTGGCTACCCAATGACATGTTTAGAATATTTCATTGTTCTTGAAGCATTTCAAATCAATATACAGGGAAAAAATTGCTGGTAAGAGAACAGTGCTTACCCTTCAGCCTCTATAACATGTTTAAGTCTCTCCGAGACATGAAACTCCTCTAGTGGAGCAAATCGAAAACGAGTACATCTGGATTGTAATGCTGGAATAATCTTGTTGACATGATTGCAGATTAGTGAGAACCTAGTGTTCTTTGTGTATTTCTCAATCACTGCACCAAAACAAAAGTACAGAAGAAATAAGTATCAGTGAAATAACTTCGAACTGACAAAACCTACTGCATTAAAACAATTTATACCTCTTCGCAAAGCAAATTGAGTATCAAAACTTCGAACTGACAAAACCTACTGCATTAAAACAATTTATACCTCTTCGCAAAGCAAATTGAGCATCCTTTGTCATAGCATCTGCCTCATCCAGCAAGACCATTTTGACAGATGACTTTGCACTCTCACCCCTAAACAGACATAGTCAGACTATAAGTTTTGATTACAAGGCTAATTGTTATACAACACACAGAAATTGGAATCAAATAAGATCACGATGCATAGCCATCTTTGGGGGTCTGAAGTCTTAGAAGGGAGATACATTCATTAGAGCTGGAAAACAACCAGCAGGCCAAACCCAGATATCACCGAAAATATTTCTATTTATAACTTCTAACTCTTAGAATTTTTTTTTGAAGTCCGGACACGAGGTCTGACTATTAAGTATGAAACGTAGTTCTAATAGTAATCAATTTCATATATTCCGTGCTCCAGATACTAGAATGAATATCCGACGAAGTAAAACCATCTCTATCAAGATGACAGACCCATTCTCTGTACTCTCCATAGGATCATTTATACCAAGTCACACACTCATTAAAATGGCCGTGATCTGTCATTAAGTGCGACTATCTCCACTATAGAAATAAAAAAAGGAAAGAAGGAACAAATTCATTAATAAATACTAGAAACAAAGGGTAGGCTTTCTACATATGTATCGTTCAAAACAATGATTTTTATCAGCTATAACAAAGAAATAAACTTCATAAAAGTCGAAATATGAAGAAATAGGTATGCCTAGATACTTTATTCTATGGATAAAGGATCTAATTGATAGAAGAAGTGCCGTAAAGATCAATTCACGAGGTTTTGGTCCGATACAATAAGAACTGCTTGCTTATGTCATGATCCCCTAAGGTATTGTGCAGCGGTGTAGCATTAGATCCCAATGATAGTAAGTCTTTTCCTTCTTATGAAGGAAGGTCTTTTTCAAATATTCTATATCAATTTATATATGAAACTGAGATAGTTACCTTTCAGAAAATTAGAATGATAGTGAAACATAGAAAAGCATAACATGAGTTATTTGGCATATTTTGATTCCTATACATCCACTCATGTGGTACTTCATTATATGATATATATAAGAATTATACGATATATATAAGATCCATCTGTATAGATATCATCATCTACATCCAGAAAGCCGTATGCTTTGAAAGAAGCTTGTACAATTTGGGAAGGGGTTTTGATTGATCAAAAAGAAGAGTCTACTTCAACCGATATGCCCTTAGGCAATATGCCCTTAGGCACGGCCATACATAACATAGAAATCACACTTAGAAAGGGTGGACAATTAGCTAGAGCAGCAGGTGCTGTAGCGAAGAGGGGAAATCGGCCACATTAAAATTTGGAAGAAGCTTGTACAGTTTGGGAAGGGGTTTTGATTGATCAAAAAGAAGAATCTACTTCAACCGATATGCCCTTAGGCACGGCCATACATAACATAGAAATCACACTTGGAAAGGGTTGACAATTAGCTAGAGCAGCAAGTGCTGTAGCAAAACTGATTCCAAAAGACAATTAGCTAGAGCAGAAGGTGCTGCAGTGAAACCACATTAAAATTACCTTTGGGGAGGTCCGTTTGATATCCAAAAACTGCTCAGCAACAGTCGGACAAGTGGGGAATGTTGGGGTGAACCATAAAAGTTTGGGTAAAGCCGGATCTAAATGTTGGCTAGAGACTTAGGCCAAAAATAAGGATACATTCTGGGAAAATAAAACTTCCATCGAAGAGAAGCAAATGAAAGGCTTTCATAAAAAATCTTGTAGAATCGAGAATGAAGTTTTCATTTTGTACATGTCAGATCATGAATTAGTAACTACATCCAATCTCGAAAAAATCCCAATTCTTTCAAACTTTCTCTTTTTGGAATGGAATTTTTACGGAATCCCCATGAATAGGATCAAACCTTATTCCATGGTATTTACATGGGATTCCTCTTTCTTATTCTTAAACAAGTCCCCGAGAGGGCTTAGTTGATCCACGATTTATGTTTTGTCTTTTGTTTCCTTTTCGTTTGTTTCGAGAAATATATCGATCAATTCCGATTCTTTCTTTTCTATTGATTCTTTTCCGATCAAGATAGACATTAACAAAATGATGATAACAAATTGAAGTCTTACCCAAACGAGAAACTCTGCGTGCTAGCAAAATCTTGAATCTGTTGTCGCACAACATCGATCCCCCTGTCATCGGATGCATTCAACTCCAAAATCATATTGTGGTACTGTGCTCCATACAGCTTGCGTGCCACAGCAAGTATCGTTGAAGTTTTGCCAGTTCCAGGAGGACCATACAATAGGAGGTGTGGCAATCGGTTCTCACTAGTGAGCCTATCAACTATTCACCCCACCAAAAAAACATATGAGTGAATGTATAACTTTAACAATTAAAAATGAATGATAACTACATATAGCACTAAGATTATCGAAAATGATAGACTCCCATAATTGCTGCAGCTCATGCCGAAAACCGAAACATTAGGAAAATCAAGCCGAAACCCTAGGCTCTCTTTACATTCATGGCAAGCAGGGGAAAATTAAAAGGGAAACCGGGCTGCTTTTCTATAATTTCTCCATCTCTGAAATATATTCATGCATACGAATGTATACACACAAATCAACATCTTTTATTCCCAGATTTTCTCGCCAACCAAACACTACAGTAACTAATTATAGTAGAGAGAAACCGAAAAAGCAAAATCAACATAAACCCTAAAAAGTTCCAACACTTGATACCAACAATCATGGGAAGAAGGAATTGCTTACTGGTGTCGACAATGTCGCGGTGAGCAGCGACGTCCGCGAGGGAATGAGGGCGGTACTTCTCGACCCACGGCGTGGCTTTGCCGTGGGAAGGGGCAGCGACGGCGACGTTTTTGCCTTTGTTGTTGCTGGTTTTTAGAGATGAATTGTCATCTTCGTCGATGTCCATGAGAGTGCTTGGCTCCGCCATGGTTGAGTGTGGAGTCCACTGGTTAGCTGCTCTCCTCTCGCAGTCGCTGTGAAGAGAATCGAGGGTTTCAGTGACCTCAGCAATGGCGCCAACTTGAATTTTTTTTCATATCGTGGGCGGGATTTACCCTTTCTAGTTTCTACACTTTATATATTTGTTTACTATTTATAAAAATTGATATAAAGGTGGACGACCCAGAGAAGTAGGCATTGACCGTCAATTAGACTGGCAATTTCTGACACGACCCGATAATCCGACACGATATGATACGAAATTAACAAGTGTTCGGGTCGACACGATAACGAATCGGGTCATTATTGGATAACCCGATAAGCACCTGTTAAGATAACGGGTTGATTCGGGTATACACATGGGTAACACAATACACGATAAGCAGAATATTATTTTAATAATTTTATAATCTTAAAAAAATACTGTAATAATTATATACATTAATTTAACAATTTTATACCCTTAAAAACTATAATAAATATAGATATATATATATATATATAAAATTAACTATAAAGTCTATAATAATTATAATAATTATATATACTATAATAATTATACCCCCAAAATATTAACTATCTATAATAATTATATATATATATATATATTAAATTTTGAATTAAATTTTATAAAAACTATAATAATTATTAATTAATATGCATGATGCATGATGCATCCATTGATTTGATTCCATTCCATTCCTGCAGCCTTTTTTGAAGAAAAATGGCGGGAAAATAAAAATGATAAGAAAAGTTGAAAATGAAACAAAAAAGTGAGGGAATTAGGAAAAGATGCTGGAGGGAAAAGTGAAAATTATAAGAAAAGTTGAAAAGGAAATAAAAAAAAGAGGGAAAAATGAAAATTAATAGAAGTGGTGAGAAATTTTTTTTTTTTTTTTTTTTTTGAAGTTATTAACTTTTTATCACATATATGACATATCTCACTATTTTTATAATGACACACGTGATGTATTACTCCGTGTACCAGTCAATTATATGTACAAAATAAATAGATTTAAATCTACTTAATAAATATATATATATATACACACACCATTGGAACTTGATGGGATACGAATTCTCCAAAACTAATTTCAACAATCCCAACCGTCAAACTTGTTTGTATATGCTTTGAGATCACATCAGCAAAAAATCGCAAAAAACAAACATTCAGAGATCAAGTAACATGACAAAGCTTTTCGACGGTTATAAACGAAAAATCACGATTTAACGGTTATTTTAACTTCGATTTGGATGATTTTTTATAGCTACACTCCTTGACCCTATATGAATTCAATGAATCAATTCGATCTTCAATTTAAAATATTTACACAAGTGGATACCACAAAATCTTATGTTATACTTGATGAAAGTATAAATAAACTCTAAGTGTTAGTTAATCTATCGTTTTTATGGGATACGAATTCTCTTAAACTAATTTCAACGATTCCAACCGTTAAACTTGTTTGTATATGCTTTGAGATTACATCAGCAAAAAATCACAAAAAACAAACATTCAGAGATTAAGTAACGAGACAAAACTTTTCGAGGTTTATAAACGAAAAATCACGATTTAACGGTTATTTTAACTCTGATTTTGATGATTTTTTACGGCTACACTCCTTGACCCTATATGAATACAATGAATGAATTCGATCTTCAATTTAAAATATTTACACAAGTGGATACCACAAAATCTTATGTTATACTTAATGAAAGTATAAATAAACTCTAAGTGTTAGTTAATCTATCGTTTTGATGGGATACGAATTCTCCAAAACTAATTTCAATGATCCAAACCATCAAACTTGTTTGTATATGCTTGGAGATCACATCAGCAAAAAATCACAAAAAACAAACATTCAGAGATCAAGTAACATGACAAAGCTTTTTTACGGTTATAAACGAAAAATCACGATTTAACGGTTATTTTAACTCCAATTTTGATGATTTTTTACAGCTACACTCCTTGACCCTATATGAATACAATGAATGAATTCGATCTTCAATTTAAAATATTTACACAAGTGGATACCACAAAATCTTATGTTATACTTAATGAAAGTATAAATAAACTCTAAGTGTTAGTCAATCTATCGTTTTGATGGAATATGAATTCTCCAAAACTAATTTCAACGATCCAAACCGTCAAACTTGTTTGTATATGCTTGGAGATCACATTAGCAAAAAATCACAAAAAACAAACATTCAGAGATCAAGTAACGGGACAAAGCTTTTCGACGGTTATAAACGAAAAATCACGATTTAACGGTTATTTTAACTCCAATTTTGATGATTTTTTACAGCTACACTCTTTGACCCTATATGAATACAATGAATGAATTCGATCTTCAATTTAAAATATTTACACAAGTGGATACCACAAAATCTTATGTTATACTTAATGAAAGTATAAATAAACTCTTAAGTGTTAGTCAATCTATCGTTTTGATGGGATACGAATTCTCCAAAACTAATTTCAACGATCCAAACCGTTAAACTTGTTTGTATATGCTTGGAGATCACATCAACAAAAAATCACAAAAAACAAACATTCAGAGATCAAGTAACAGGACAAAGCTTTTCGACGGTTATAAACCAAAAATCATGATTTAACGGTTATTTTAACTCCGATTTTGATGATTTTTTACAGCTACACTCATTGACCCTATATGAATACAATGAATGAATTTGATCTTCAATTTAAAATATTTACACAAGTAGATATCACAAAATCTTATGTCATACTTAATGAAAGTATAAATAAACTCTAAGTGTTAGTCAATCTATCGTTTTGATGGGATACGAATTCTCCAAAACTAATTTCAACGATCCAAACCGTCAAACTTGTTTGTATATGCTTGGAGATCACATCAGCAAAAAATCACAAAAAACAAACATTCAGATATCAAGTAACGGGACAAAGCTTTTCGACGGTTATATACAAAAAAAATCACGATTTAACGGTTATTTTAATATAGTATAGTGTTATTATTTTATTTCTTTTCATAATTATTTTGGTAAACTTCTCATAATTTGAATGATTTTTAATGTTTGGTTTTTCTATACTTAGTTTATGCGGAAGAGAGTTTTGACGTGGAAAACCTTACTGAAAACATCTTCAACATAACTCTTCAGGGTAATAGATCAAGCCAAAGTTTCAATACAATTTCATGATGATCGATGTAAATTGAAGATTTTGTAGATGGAGGTGTAAACTTTTGAGAAAGACTTACAATCTTGAAAACAAAAACTCTTTCATTTTGCATATCCTTGCACATTTAATATTTGTAATAGATTAGTAGTGTATGTATTATTTTTTTATTAGGCTCTTATTTTGGAGTGTAGATATAGTACTTAAACGATAAATGTTTTAATGTTTTGAAGTAATATTTATGTGGCAATGTGTGGTATGTGCAAATTTAAAAAAAATATATTTTTTTCTTAACGGGTCGGGTCACTTTACCCGTCGGGATACTCGTTATAACCGCAAGTAATACACATAACCGTCCATTTAAATTTCACGGATAAACGATTATACCCATAACCGTTTGTTCACCTAAACGGTTACCCATAACTGTAACCGTGAAGCTTAAATGGGCGGGTAACCGCAGTTACCCAAAACCGTGGGTATTTTGCCCATCCCTACTGAAGAGTCTAGAAAAGTTATTAAGTATTGAAAGGAATATTGTCTTGAGCTGCAGATCAAACAATATGCTAACAAAAGTTCTTATCCACCGAAAGTTTATGGTATTAAAAAACCATGTGGCCTAAAGATCATGAGTTGGACACTAAAATGATTAATTAATTTTTAAGCACTAAGAAGGGTCATTCATCCTCATGAAGGAAGAAAGTTCATTCATTCTCATGAAGGAAGTGATGAGTTGATATTTGGTCTAGAAGTACCATATCTTCATGAAGTATGTGCCTTCCTATATTTAGCACAATACACTGAATAAGTTATTACATTTCATGTGGAGCACAATATCAACAAATGGGTATTGCAATGAAATAAAAATTATCTATTGATATCTCTAGGAAATTATATACATGTGCTTGTTCTACTCCAAAGAACTTAGTAATAGCATGGTCTTATTGGGCAAGCAAAATCTGAATATCTCTCTAGCCTACATTCAAATCGCTCTTAGAAAGGATTTGTATTTACATATGGAAATAGATTGATCCTGCAACAATCAAGGAAACAAGTATTCATTGTTACATCTTCATATCTCTTAGAAATACATATGTTTAGTTAAGACCTGTGGCCCATCAAAATTTGGGCGCATGTGATGCACCTTAAGGAGCAAGCACTCAAACTATTGTGCATTAGCTTGATGACAAATTAGTTAATCCAAGCTTATTTTAATCAGAGAGAGATATCATCAGGGGAAGCGTCTAAGAGTATGCTACATTGGCCATATGAGCAAAGTACTTTTGTTTCCTTAGACCACATATTCATATCATGAAGTTCTAATGAAGATAGTCAGTTAAAGACTTGTGGTCATCCAAGGGAAAGTGTTATAAAGGTGGATGATTCATTTGGAGAAGTAAGCACCGACAACCCATAGATGTTGAATTTGAGTTAACAGTCTCGTGTAGCTTGTTATACTTTCACAATCCTGAGCCTTGACAGGAACTATATATTTTCCTATATAAAGGCTTATTTGTAGCATAGAGAAGAAGACATAATCCATTGTCTTCCATTGCTTTGTAATTTCCATTTGAAAAGAAGAGAGATTACCACTGTTGCCCGAGAACATAGGCACACTTACCGAACCTCGTAAATATTGTGTTATTCACTTTATATTCCACTACACACATGTCATCAATTTCACAACAAAAATATAAAATTTGTAATTTCTTTCCTTGAATAGCTTTTGCATGTTTTTCAAACACTGTTTAGGTTTCTTTACGCTGTGTTCGAATCAAATTATTATGGTATGTATATTGTGTAGCTTACATCAAGTTTCAAACTCTTTACTTAAAACATTTCGTGTATTAAAAAATTGATATTTTGAATGGTATCAAAAAGTTAAGTTGCTACTTAGTATTACGGTCTAATGGTATTTCTCTTCACTTGTAAATTAGAGGTCTTAGGTTTGATTCTTGCCACATTACTAGCCC